TGACTGCAAAGGTACTGTCCGAGAAACAATATAAACCTGAGAAAAACATGTCATTCACTGAGATTCTCGATGCACGCACTTCCCGACTCTTCTTTCCCAACCTCCCCCCTCCAGGCCGTTCCACTCTATATATATATATATACACACAGACACATTTTAAATGCATCACTTTCTTATACATGTTCGGGAAAGCAGACTCCTGACCCCCAGACTCGAAAGCCACAGGCCTCTGTCCTGTTTCTTGGTCCAGAGAGCTCCCACGCATGCACCAACAGCAGCGCCAGCAAGGCATCCGGCGAAACCGCCATCTACCGCCAACATGGCTGATGTTGGCTGAGAACCTATGTTTTGAAAACCCTTTGAGCGGCGTGATGATTCCCGCTTCCGAGCTCGTTTGTCTCTTTGCCAACATCAACGGAACAACGGCATCTAGGTGCATATTTTGTGTCTACTTACGCCGTCTGCAAAGCAGTGCCTGCGTGTCCTTGCTGAGCTGGTCCCAAGCTGTGTCCACAAATGAATGCCAGCGTTGCACCCCAGCTTGGGCATTCGGAGAAGGCTCAGGCCCAGGCTCTCAGTTGTGTCTCAATCTGGCCTAAGCATTGGCATGGGCGCCCCACCCGCGCTGACCACATGAGGCAGTGACCCTCTTCAGCGCTGCGATATTGAGGTCGCGACGTCCGAAGCCCGAACCACGGCTTGGCTTCGCCCGAAGACTTAGTGTGCACGACTTCGAGAAGTTAAGAACTCAGTTGTTCAGCTTCGGCAGCTCGGGACCTGGCATCCGGAGAAGCGCCATGAAAGAAACTTTGCCATGGCGCACCCAGCTCCAGGACCCCCTTTAAAGGGCGTAAGTCTGCCTGCTGAGCTGAGTCGGGCTAAGTTGGGCCGGGGGAAGCTGCGTACCACCGCTGAGTTTCGTGAGAGGCTCTGTACGTGTATCGTCTGTCTAGTGACAGGCTTCGGCAGCCTCTACTGCAACTGACCATTGGTTCTGCCAGTCCGCGTTCTTGGTATCAGCTTTTTGAGAAGTCCACTTCGCTGGGAAATCAACGGCACCTTTACTGAGTAACCCAATCGGACCGATGCTACCTGGAAATGTCAGAGCAAGGCTCGACCTACAGGTGTTGGCTCCAAGCTGGATGCTTCGGATGTCAGATGGGCCAGCATTCGCGACAGAACGGCCGGTCTACTAATCTCAACATCAGTGTGCGCCGGCTCACCGCAATTGTAATCTCTCGTGCCAAGACCGCGTCCATTGTGACAGAATTCTCGCCCAGTTGCAGCTGAATCAGCCACCAGGCATGAGCCCACAAGGGGGTTCCCTGCGACCACATGACAAGGCAAGGTTCATGGCTCTTTTCTTGCGTAAACTGCAAAGCTATTAGGCTTTTAAACCATTGAAAAGCAAGGACTTTGCTTGATTTAGCCTGCAGGCCAGCCAGATCAGGTGTTTTTCGTGCGGCTTGAAGCCTTGTTCGCTAGCGATGGACACGCTGAGCAGGCTGGTCGCAATCTTTGTCTAACGAAACGGGCACACAAATGTCCCTGGCACAAACCACGCATGCGTTCAGCGCCAAGCGGTAACCAGGCCCTGCAGCGCAATGACCCGTAGTCTCAAAATCTATGGACTCTTTTCCATGCATAAGCTCCACCGGACGGGGTCCAGCAAGGATCTGTGCTGCAAGGCCGTGAGGGGACTGAGTTCCATTCGGAGGGCCTGTGCAGAAATCCTGCTTGGCTGGGAAGCCAGCCTGGAGTCTGATTGGGGAGGCGGTGCGTGTGGATAGGTTCATGTAACATGAAGCTCATAGTCGGGCATCCTCAGCTGAACGTACCAACCAATACGCACTGTGTCGACAGATGGCCTGACGGTCTCTCCCAATCAGTCAGCAGGCGCATCAAGCAGGCTGTACGACACATGCACCTAATTGTACGTGGATTACACAAAAAGTCTCTATGTAAAGATGCAAGCAGTTTAGAGACACTCTCGGGATAGCCGAACTGCATTATGCCATATTACGTCTATCACTGTATCACTTATTTATGTGCCAAGCATGAACCTACTAGAGGCGGGTGCTTTGCTCAAGAGCCGTCAATTCTTCTCAGAATTCCGCGAAGCCGGGCTCATAAACCACTTGCACTTGCAAGCACCATCTAACAGACTGAATTATTCTGTGTTTGGCCTTGGTGCTCCGTCTTGCCACGCGAGCCCATGTCTTGGCCTTCTTCGCTTACATCGAGACAAACGCTGCTCGAGTAGTGACAACATGTGTGGCGTGGGCTCCATGTGGGCTTTTTCCACGGCCATGGCGGTGTGGGTCACCACCCCTCGCTCCCAAGAGAGAGTTCAAGGGCCGAAGGTCGGCAACAGTGTTTTACAAATCCACGGTCATGAAGCCTTTTCGGGGAATGAACTGAAAAGGCTGCCTTTTCGTCGTTCTGGATCACTCGGAGAATTTCCTTTCGCGATTTTGTCGCCGCTCCTTGCATTCAGAGATCGCCATCCGTCACAAGTCGCAACAAACGGAAGAAGATTTCATGTACAGCTGCCGATCCTTCTGCATCGCACGCTTGTCTTCGTGGTGCCTCCTCTGGATGCGCTCCTGCAAGCACTCGGCTTCAGGTCACTCCATGAATCATGACATCTGAGATCTCAGTACACTTGCGCACAACCTATGCTGGGACTTACTGTGCGCAGAGCGGTGCTGGCCTTCTCGCGTCTGTGACGAGCTATTTCCTGATCCCGCTCCTGCGCTGATCGATGTGGTCGACTGACACTGTGGCATGATATACAATGCCCTGCCTCCTGAGGATCTTCTTCATCCTCCTCCTGCACAAGAGATGGCTCTGGCAATTGAAGTCCGTCTCGCTCGGCAGCAAAGATGCAGAAAGCATTGTCGCCGCCTGGGAGCCGGTGTCCTGGCAAAGGGGGGCATGACATGTGGACAGTCACTGTGGACACCTCACTTCGTCCCTTGGAGAAACTACGTACGGGACATGCTTGCTTCGACTCTTGTATCCCTCCCAGCGCAAGTTAAAGGCACCAAAGGCACACAGCACAGAGCATTCCCACGCACCAAGACGCGGCTAGTGTCTGAGCTTCTTACCATGCCGAGCTCATGTGTGACGCGCTCAATGTCTGCTTCTACCTGACACAGGAGCCGTGTCGGAAAAAGCCATGGTAGCAGAATGGTGTATTAGCCACTTCTTTTTTTGACCTTCACCAGGTCATCTCTCAGTCCGTTGGAGGCTCTAAACCGACATTCCTTTGCTCTTACTGTACCGGCGATGGCGACCCTCAAACTCGCTTGATCTCGTTCGTTCTCAACTCTCGCGCTTGTGTTCCAAGCCGTGCATATATCATGCCGAAAGGCCTGCCCGCGCCGCTGGATCTTGGCCTTCTCCTCCTCTGTCAAGGCCTCCAGCAAAGCAAATCAGCTCTTCGGCTGCAGCTGAAGGGTGTTGGCCACGGTCGAAGCTTTTGGCTCAGACGAACACACTTGTGAAGAGAAACGCAGTTTGCACCTCGCTCCCCTTTGTCTGGGCTTTCTCTTCCAGCTTCTCCGTCTCCTTGATTTAATCGGGAAGGGCCAGCAAACACACATCAATCACATGCTGCACTCTGCCGGGGCTTAGCCAGAAGCCAAGCAAATGCTCAGACCGAGACCTGCAGACGCTGCTGCAGCCGCTGGAGCTGCCGCCGCAGGGTCTCCAGGTGGTGCTCGTGCGCCTTCCGACTTCGGAGGGCGGAACGACTTAAGAGGCTTCCACGTCGGGCCCGGAGGCTCTGTAAGCCTAGCCTGTTGCGCCGCACACTCCTCCCGAAGCTCTCGAATCCTCTCCAGATCCGGGCTCACCTGCGTTTCCAAGAAAGAGGTGAGGTGATGTGAGGTGAGGTGAGGTGAGGTGAGGTGAGGTGAGGTGAGGTGAGGTGAGGTGCGGTGAGGTGTCGACCCAAAAGGGCAAGCCCCAACAACACGACAAACGGAAACAGCAACAAGGAGCAACACCACGAAACGAACGAAAAGATCCTGAATCGAAAAGAACACAGTGAGCAGCTGAAGCATACGAGTACGCACAACTGCTTCCACAGTTGCCTGGATCCAGGGCTCCCAAGGCGCAGCAAGCGGTAGACTGCAGTTGACTGCAAATCTCCATCAAGGCGAGCTGAAAGGGGAAAACCGAACAATCCGTCACCATGGAAGGTTGACCCTTTGAGAAAAAAGAAAGCGAAGGGCAGAGCAGTCAACAGTTCAATGCATGGATAGACTTCAAAAGAGTGATCAGTCGGCTGTTCGCCCAATGCGGTTTTATCCTACGACCTTCGCCGAATGAGTCTATGTCGCCGCGAAAAGCGGCTTTCTGCAAGTCCGCGCTGGACTAGTCGGTCTGCTTCCTGTTGAAGCTGAGTGAGAATCAGCTCAAAATCCTGCACAAGGCTGCCCCGCCGCAGGATATAGTCTTGAGCGGCCTGAATGAGCTGTGCCCACTCGTACCGGAGCCATCTGGCCAAGAAGCGCGATATGCGTTGCTGACGGCTCTGTGCAACCTGCGGGCTGCCAAAGCCGGCCGCGGGCAGGCATTCTGCCGCAACCCTGTCCATGTGGCTGCTGATATCCGGCGGAATGTCAAGCTGCTGAGCAGACGGAAAGGCTCTGTACGAGACTATCCACAGCCAGTGACAGTCTGGACAAAGTTGTACGGCTTCCTCGGTTTGCAGCCTATATACTGCATGTGCGCCTCGGTTCCACCGGCAACCACCTCGGAAGTGGATGGTGACCGAGCATGCCGCGCAGGAAGGACCATCCAACCTTCCGCACCAGGGGCATGGTTGCGGTTCTGCCGTCCCTGCTGGCTGCGCCCCTCGACAACGGAGGCAGCATGCAACGAGTGGCACAGGTGCGACGACAGGACATCTGCAGACGTGCTGCAGCGCTTGTCGGTATACAGCCCAAGTGGCCTGGCTAGCACCCCAAGACAGGACTGCGCCAATGCGCATCGGTACCCCGGACTCCGTCAGAATGTCTGCCAGGCGATCGTTGGACTGGTTAGAGCGGAATACACTACGGAGCCGGTTTACTGCTGTATGGCGGTCGGGCGCCAGCCATCTCAGCTCCATCAGGAGTGATCTGCCCTCTGGTGTGCGGAGCCAAGTGTGTGCACGGTCAGGAGCGGCTGGCGAACGCGGAAGCAGCGGGCCCGCTGGCGCAGCGGATTCGCTGAGGGACACCGTCATAGCTGAGGCCCAGGCGTCCAGACGTTGCAGGTACTCTGCTCGAACGCAGCGTAAACCCAGCATGAGGAGACGCAGCGGGCCAATCGCTGCACCAACAGCTTGAACACACCGCACCGAGGTGGCCGCTAACTCATCCGCTGCACCCTGCATGTCAAGGAAGGACCCGTGTTGCTCATCTGGAGCATCCTCCTCAGGCCGGGAACGGGAGCAGGTTGGTTGACCATGACGCCTCAGGAAGCGACCCAACTCCTGAGGCATGATGCCACGATAAGCCAGATCGTGCCCCTGTTCCGAGGGTGACGGCTCGACTGCTGGACTCCTCTTGATCTCCCGCGCTCACCGGAACCACGAGCACCGCTCGCCCGGCGTTCTCTGCGCCGCGTGGATGAGCTGCGGCGTCTGCGCCCGGCGCGGCGACAGGAGTGGGCCCCACTCCCGCCACTCCGGTGGTTGGCAGGCGCCCAGCCCAGCGCCTGCTCCGCCATGGCAAGCCCAAGGTTCAGGGCCCTCGCGCACATTTGATGATCCATGGCTCTGTACACAATAGGCCTAGGGGGGGCGGGAGCTCTTGTGAAGAAAGCCAGAATTGTGGAGGTCTTGGCCACTTCGCACCAAGAGGTGCACCGGTCATGCGTTGGCTCTGCGAATGGGCAGTATTACTTAGTATGCGCAGCGAGTGCTGTAGACTCAAGGAGAGCGCAGGAAGCGGCTGCCAAATAATTAGTTCCCGTTTGACCGCTTCTCCTCTTCAGGGTGAAAACCGCACGCTGGTCGCCTAGAGCTGCGTCGATTCCCATGCCTATCCTCAGACTCTGCAGATTTCACTCTCGTCTGGACCCTCGTGAAGGGCCGAGTAAGTCACTATCGACTTCCAGGGCCTCTGCCGGGGGAACGAACACCCACCGGCAGCTTGTTCAAGGCGATGCGAAATTCTGCATTGATCGACAAGTCAGAAGCAGCGACTGCTATGGATCCATGGAAAGTACAAAAACCGCAGCAAAATAATTAGTTCCTGTTTGACTGCGGCGCTTTTCCACAGTTAAAAACCGCACAGTGAGCTCACATCTTGACCCTTGCGAAGGGGCCGAACAAAGCTCGTCCTCCTTCCAGGGCCTCTGCTGGGGGTCCACCCACCGGCAGCTTGGTCCAGGCGATGCGAAACTCTGCACAGAATGGCTGTGGGTCCATGGAGGTGCAAGAAACGGCAGCAAGATAATTAGTTCCCGTTTGACCGCGGCGGCGATTTTTCACAGTTAAAAACCGCACCTTGAGCTCTCATCTTGACTCTCGTGAAGGGGCCGATCTAAGCTCGACCGCCTTCCAGGGCCTCTGCCGGGGGTCCACCTACCGGCAGCCTGTATCAGGTGGTGCAAAGTTCTGCATTGATCGACAAGTCAGAAGCAGCGACTGCTGTGGATCCATGGAAAGCACAAAAACCGCAGCAAAATAATTAGTTCCTGTTTGACCGCGGTGCTTCTTCACAGTTAAAAACCGCACATTGGGCTCACATCTTGACTCTTGCGAAGGGGCCTAACAAAGCTCGGCCTCCTTCCAGGCCTCTGCCACCGGCAGCTTGTTCCAGGCGATGCGAAACTATGCTCTGATTGGCTGTAGGTCCATGGAGGTGCAAGAAACGGCAGCAAGATAATTAGTTCCCATTTGACCGCGGCGGCGATTTTTCACAGTTAAAAACCGCACATTGAGCTCTCAGCTTGACTCTCGCGAAGGGGCCGATCTAAGCTCGACCACCTTCCAGGGCCGCTGCCGGGGGTCCACCTACCGGCAGCTTGTATCAGGCGCTGCAAAAATTCTGCATTAGTCGACAAATCTGAAGCAGCTACTGCTGTGGATCCAAGAAAGTGCAAGAAACGGCAGCAAAATCATGAGTTCCCGCTTGACCGCGGCTCTTCTTCAGGGTAAATTTTAAAAAACAACCGCACGTTGAGCTCTCATCTTGTTCCCGGCAAAGCGAAAAAATCCTGCATAGACCAATAAAGAAAAAACGGAAGAGATGACGGACTCTGCCAAGCATCGCAACGTGGAGGAAAGCACCCCGCACGGC